TTCCAAAGTTTCAAAATCTCATTTTTTTGGTGCATTTTCTTCTCTAATTTTTTTATTTACAATAGATAACATTTACATGCCAAAGATTTTTTTAAAAAATAGAGATAGGTAACTTTTTGAGATAAACTTGGGCCATCACAAAGCAATGCAAAGTTATGCCGGGTATAGAAATTTCACTCTATTAACATAATTCATAATTCACCATCAGTCTTGCCATGCAAACCGACACAGAAATATTTATCAGGATCAGATCCAGGATTTTTTCCAGGGGGCGAGGGGTCCACAACAGTAAAAAAAAAATCCAACTCAACTCAAACTTTTGTTGACAAGCTAAAAAAAAGCCCAAACGTGAAAATCCTATTTCTTAAAAGGGGTAGTGGTTCACAGAAATTTGCTGACAAGTTTTGATTTCTAATACTTTATACCTAGGTCCTGTACAAAGAGACTATCAGCATTTCGGAGCGTAACAACGATGTGATTTTAATAAGATTGACTGGTATCTTATCGTGGGTTGTTTAAGTTTTAAGCAGTTTTTCTCGCTTTTTATATTTTATCTTTGTTTTGTTAGGAGGCTTAAACCAACGTCACATTACAAGCAAGGAATTGAAACATCATTTCAAAAGCGACCGTCTTCATTTGATCTACAAGCTGTACATTGATTGCGTTAAAGAAAAATGTTCCGAGCGTTTCTATCTTCGACCACAAGAAAACGGAGAAAATGGAAAAGTAAGATTAAGTATGCAGCCAGTAGGGATGAACAAATTATCAGGAATCTTAAAGAACATGTATACTGATGTTCCAGGGTTGTTCACAAACCATTCGGGCAAACGTACATGTGCCAGCTCCCTGTATCAAGCCAGGATTCAAAAACTGGACACAGATCAATAGAAAGTTTCCGGAAATATGAGACCATCCTCTAAAATGCTGCATGAAGTGTCAAGTACGCTGGAAGCGGGGATTCCGTCAGTGGAGGGTAATGAGGTGGACAAAACAACGTGGAAAAAACTCAAAACTGAGGTCGAGGGAAAGAAACAGAAGAACAGTGGAAAGCTGGAGTTCAATTTAACATACAACTGTACAATCAATTTGTAATGTCAAATGTAATGTGTGTCAACATAATGAAGAATGAAGTTTTTGTTTTAATTTTGTACAGATAGTACAGATGATTATTTGATTAAATTTTTTCAGCTTTAATTTTTTTCTAGAGTTTTGTGGGTGTGGTGTATAGAAAAATGTGGGTTATGTGTGGCACGCCAAATTAACAAAAATGAGCAAAACATAGTTTCACAGTCGATAAACTATGTTTATCGGCTGTAAACTATAGTTTACGGACTGTAAACTATAGTTAACAACGTTAATCTATATTTTACATCTGTAAACCATAGTTAACGCGATAATCTATGTTTCACAACCGTAAACTGTAATTAACACCGAAAACAATCATTTGCTATTGTAAAACATAGATTATCTGATAAACACACACACAATTATAGTTTACAGACGTGAATCTATGTTTATCAACAAATCTTTTGTTAACGTTTTATTACAGACAGATAAACTTAGATAAGCGTTTGTAAACTATAGTTTACAACCGTTAAATATAGTTTTACAGATGAAAATTATAGTTAACGAATTGTAAACTATAGTTAACGAATTGTAAACTGTAGTTAACGAATTGCAAACTATATATAACGGTTTACAGTCAATAAACCTAGTTTATCAATTGTGAAACTATGTTTAGCACGCCAAATTCACAAAAATGAGCTAATCATAGTTTCACAGTCAATAAACTAGGTTTATCGGTTGTAGACTATAGTTTACGGACTGTAAACTATAGTAAACAGCGTTAATCTATAATTTACATCTGTAAACCATAGTTAACTTAATGTGATAATTTATGTTTCACAACCGTAAACTATAATTAACACCAGAAACAATCATTTGCGACCGTAAAACATAGATTATCTGATAAATACAGTTTCACGATTTGTAAACAATGGTTTACAATTCTTAACTGTAGTTACCGATCGTAAATTATAGTTTACAGACATTAATCTATGTTTATCAACAAAATCTATTGTTAATGTTTTATTTCAGACAAATAAACTTAGATTAGCATTCGTAAACTATAGCTAACAACCGTTAAATATAGTTTTACAATTGAAAACTATAGTTAACGAATCGTTAACTATAGTTAACGGTTTGTAAACTATAGTTTACAGTCGATACCCATAGTTTATAAATTGTGAAGCTAGGTTTAGCTCATTTTTATGAGTTTGGCGTGCCATAGTTATGTGCAGATAACCCACACTTTTAACAAAAGAAATAACGGCTAACTATGGTACAATTTTATAAGTAGGAAAATTAATAACGTCTGGTTTCTGTTGCAGAAAATCATTGTTATATCTTCATTTCTTTTAAGAATTACAGAATTTCTCTGATTACTCTGGTAGTTTATACAATCACTTCAAGCTATATTAAGCTTTCTCTTTTGTCCTTCCTCCCATTTTCTTTGCAACATGAGAGATGTTAACAATTTGTTTTATTTTTTATTTTCATTTTATCTTCCTCTAGCAATGTATATGTTCTCAAGAAATATGAGAAGAATCATACCTAAACCTTAAATCTGTGTCTATGCACATTTAACACTAAAATGGACGTGTAAATAAAGGAAACAAAATGACAACTTGAACGGAACAATTAAACGTATTGAACAAAACATACAGCGGTGAGAACTACCCCTATTGGACTTACTATATAGAAGGACTGACTTTTACAGATGACAGTTTACTTGGACATTTAAACCTATATCATGTACGGAGGTATAGAATTTATAAAAGATAAGAAAACCTTTCTAGTGGTCATAGGTAGGGTGTTGGGGCCGGGAGTTATAAAGGGAAGGGTGGTTGTCATTTTCTTCAAGGGCAACTTATTTTGCATTGAACTGACCCATTATTTTCGTTTAAATAAATGTCCAGATAAATATTTATAAATTGAAACAATATATACTAAACTGTACATGTATTATTTAAACAAAAAAAAATTGGAAACAAATTTTACTAAACATGCAGTAAAACCCTCTTTATTTCAATGCTCTCTGCCTATTTCTCTGTCCGCAAAAACTTTAACCATGCCCATAACTTTTGATTTAGTGGAGCTATGGCTTTCTTATTTCACATGTGCATTTCTTGTGATAAGACCTTTCTTTGGGTACCACGAAATTTGACATTGACCTTGGGGTTTGACCCACTTTTACACAAAAATTCCAAATTTTTAGATTGGCCATATCTTTTATGCAGTAAATACCAGGGCTTTTATACTTTATATATGCATTTTTGTGGGAGGACCATTCATTGGATACCAGCAATTCTGACATTTTGACCTTGACCTTGAAGATTCCCGTACTTATGAAAAAACTTTAACTAAACATGAGTTTTCAAGAACTGTGACCCTTTGACCTTAGAGTTTCGAATTACTGTTTTAAAAATATCAAGAATTTTGACCTTGACCTTGGAGTCTGACTTACTTTTTGAATTTTTTAATCTTGGCCATAACTTTTGAAGGGTTAGGACTAGGGATTCCTTACTTCACATATGTAGTCTTTTGTAGCAAGACCTTTCATTGGATGCCAATTACCTTGACCTTTTGACCTTGACATTGGAGATTTCTGTCCTTATGAACCTTGGCCTACTTTCATATTTCACAATTGCATTTTCAGTGAGAATACCCTACTTTCGGTACCAATATATTAAAAATTCACTTAAGAAAAGTTTAATCTTCGCTATGTTGCCATACAGTGTTTCACAAACATATCTTGTTTTCAAAAGTCATGGGGCCCATAGTTTGAGTTTTGTAAACAGATGCAAGAGTGGGTCAAACTCCAAGGTCAAGGTCAAACTATGTAGGTACCAAAAAAGGTCTTTGCACAAGAACATAACATGTGGAATACAATAGCCATCAAATCAAAAGTTTTGGGGAAGGTTAAAGTTATGCAGACAAACAGACAGAGCAAAAATAATCTTCCATTACTGAGAAATAGACACATAACCCGCATAGGCAGGGGTAAATTTGTCTGCAGTGGTTATATAACTATTAAATCCAAATAAACAAACAAAGGTAGACTTTTGTCACTATAATATTATTTAATTATAGATATAAATACTATTTATCAATACATGAACATGTACTTAAAATTTTGTTTTATTGATCAGTACATCATGGTATGTTTCAATGACTCTATTGCTTAAAGAATCTTACATAAGGGTGGTTTTCAAAAAACGAATACACTAGTTCAGAGTTGACGGTATGATGAAAGGAAGTGGTTTTCACATTATATAAAAGTAAATACATTTATTGGATATAGATAGGTATAAATGGTATGGAAGTTTTCTAGCCTTTTGAAGACGTATACAACATGTTCTTAACATTTGACTTCATAAATGAATATATATGAACATGTATAAAGACATCCAGTGTCATTTATTATAGGGCGAACTGTGACATCATGAAACTTACATCTCAATCTCTATGAAAGATATTAAAATGAAACAATGTTACACTAGTTGTCATTTTGCAGGTGAAATTAATTGATTAAAATAAATTGATAATTTTACAGATACTAGCAATGTTGCTATCCTAGTACATTTACTATTCATCTGCTAACAACATTATACATGCTATATGAGTTGGATTATATTGACCTCAATTAGACGAAAAGAACAAAGAAAGTTATTAATTATTGATATTCATTTTAAGGTCCTTTAACAAATCACAAAATTACGTAAATTAAAAATCCGTTATTAAGGCCAACTTAAAGTAATTCTAATTACACATTGTTATCCGTTAGAATGGTCAACGTCCTACGAGTAACTGCAAAAAATTATATTTATTATTCTTAAAGTTTCAATTATATTTTCTTTCAGCTTTTTTTTTTTACATAAGTACAGCATCCTGGTCTACATTTCTTTTAATTACGATAGAAACATTGTAAAAAAATGTTTTTACATGTCAACATCTCTCTGTAATTGTTGTTTAACCCATTCAATTCTAGAATTTGTAGCTTCTTGTATAAAGTGGAATGGCTCCTGTTTAAGCGATACTTCATAAGACTGTAAAGCCCCGTGTAAGTCTCCCACAACTTGCTGACAGATTCCCAGTATCTGCCAGGAAATACTTCTCCTTTCTAAAGGAACATATCTCTCATCATCATAGAGCATCAGTGTCTGTAGGTCTGTCAGTGACTGTAAACACTGAGATCTATTACCCAGTCTATTGTGAGATAACACTGACAACATTTCTACTATTACACATGGTGGAATTTGTAAATAGCGTGAATGTTGAAATGCAGCCAATTGTTCTAATGTTAATTCTTCAATATAGCAAATCTTAGGATGAAATATAATTGGCAATACCCAAGCATTTTTAATTCTCTTAGACAAAGACAGACCACTGACATATTCCCTGTATCTATAACTATCTCCCATACCGTTATGCATAACATGGGGCTCTGATAGTCTTCGTTTAGTTTGGTTAGTTATATACAGTGCTTCATTATATCTCCCTGTCCTATGGTAATACAAAGCTAAATACAGTGAATGGGGGATGGTTCCTACCTGTAAGGATAATTTCAACATGTTGCAAATTTTTCTGTCCAAGCAGTACACATATTTATGCTTAAAATAGTGGACACTGTTTACAATCATAAAGGCTGCTTGAACAAGACAATCAGCTGTCAAGTATTGTAATGTTACTGATTGGTATGGTGACAGTGACAAATGTAACACCGTGTCAACAGATTTTTTAAAAATAAAATGTTTTACATCTACAACCTCATCATAAAAATCAAATCTCAACATCACAATTTCCCTCAAAATACAACCATCATTACATGAAATATCGTTACACTGTCCCTCTGATGAGGGGATCACCAATGACAGATTGTAAAGGGCTGGTTCAAGGATAGATCTGATTGTCGGACTTAGGAGTAAACAAGACACGCCTAATCTGTAATACTGATCAAGTTGTTCTAGAAGTGATTCACGGGCAGCACCAACAATTTTGTTTAAAAACATATTGTTCTCCGGAATGAAAAAATTTGCGAATTTACCACGATACACACAGAGAATGAGATATTTTAAACACATCCAAAAGCATTTCAGTAGATAGTTAGGACTCCAGTTCACATTTCCAACCTGTATTAACCAAAATATCGTAGTCTTCATGAAGTAAGAACACAGTAATGGTTCCTCTACGTTCTTATTAATTACTTCAGTGAGAAATAATTTAAGGAGTCCATAGCATATAAATTGGGTATGATTCATAGTGTACACTAGTTTTTGTTCTGCCAGAGAAAAAGACAATCTCCACTCTAGATCATTTCTAGTGGTGGTACATCTACTTCCAATAGTCACACAGTGAAAGCCATCGTAAAAAATGTCTTTCAGCACACTTGCAGGAGGCCATTTATGCTTATGGCATCTTTGATTCCAGTTTTCTGTAGTACTTGGCCAGTACTTGCAGCTAAAACAAATTGTTATATCAAATTGAGTAGATAAACGGTAACCACTCATACAAGGACCATGAAGATATATATTTTGTAGACCGTGACCTTCATGTTGTGAGAGTCTTTGTCTCCATAAAAAACTTGATACATAAGTTTTGTTATTGAAATAAATAACTGACGATTTTATGGATTCAGAGCAAGGTGTTGTCAAGAGCTGTAGTCTGACAAAACCTGCCGATGTATCTGTGTCCTCAATCAGTATAACATTATGATGAATTGATGGATTGTAATCTCTTAGTTGAGAAATATTGTTTATTAGTTTATTGCAGCAAGACCATACCATGTAATCCTGGTCAGATGAATCAAACCTAAATCCTTCCCTATAACTGCCGCTAAGCATGGTTCGTTTTAAACAAGGGTAGTGTTTTCTCTTACAGGTATAACATTTACACATAAAATTTCTTCTTTGTAGCAAGTCATCAATATCCCTCACGTCCCTTCTGATGGCCACTTTACTCGGTGTTCCTATCTCACGACTCAGAAATACATAAAGGATCTCTGATAGGCGGGGAATGTGATCCATTCTGTGAATCAAGTATAAAGAATAAGTAATTATGGGTATGTTCAGTAACAGCTGAAAAACAGTAACCATAGTAATAGAAAACAGCTTATTTTTTATATTTTATTTTATTTATTTAGAGATGAATATTCCAAAATTAGAATCCCAAACTAATTTGATAAATATGACTGTTTAAGCATGAAATATGAATATCTACATTTTATATCAAATAGATTTTCTATTTTGTTTTAGAATATTGAAATGTTAAGATTATGCATTTAAAGTTCTATGGGTTAAACAATTATTATTAAATTATTTGTATTATCATAGGTTTTTTTTTCATTTTATTATTTTTATTTCAGAAGTGTGTCATAGAGTATATACATGCATTTGCTTCTGTATACAAGTATAACAAATTTGTTTACTTTTCTGAAAAAAAAGAATTGTTCACATGAATTTGCATTTTAAACTTTTGAAACATTTTTTTAGAATGTCGTAGCAAATATGTTGTGAGGACATTTTTAAATGTGAGAAGAATATTAAAGTATTTTTAGAAAGATAGATCCTCAGTACAGGTAATCAGTCTTAAATCTGTAATTCGACATTCACAATGAATCCATCCCCCCCCCCCGAGTATCCATCTAAGTATAAATAAAGTATATAAAATATGCAAATATGTGCATAATATTGGATATGGATCACTTTATTGAGAGACATTTAAAGAATGTTGAATAAACTATTTCTTACACCGTGAGTCGAAGACTCAACTATGTTTTTAATGTTTTTCAATAAAAAGCCCCTTTTTATAATCTTACTGATAAGTTTTTACTTCAATCAAATTTTAGTAGTTATCATACTAGATCAGCATCAAATGCACATTCGTTGTATTATTAATTAAGCATAAACAACCTTAATCATTTTATTTTAATGAAATTCAAAACTAGAACATGTTACCAGGAGAAATCAAAAATGTTATAAATACTTGAATTTAGTTTGCTTTTAAAATTTTTGAAAGTTCTGAAATGTCAAGAATATTTCATTAGAAAGTGGAATTGGACAGTGTAAAAGTCAAGTCGTGTTTTATTAGTTATTTTTCTTACTGTTAGTTGTTTACGATTACAACCATGTAAAGATAAAATATATATACATACTACAGTTCATTTTTAAGGATCTTTCTGTTGTCAGCTAAATCCCATATCTTAGCAAAAGTATTTATATTTTTTCTGTTTATTTTTTTTAAACTTCCAGTACACCCGTACATGCATGTGAATAAGGGTCCCACTGGAAATAAGACATCGGCTTTCATGAGAAATCCTTGGTTTACAAATGTTGTATGAATTATCCTCGTGTTTTTCTAAAACTAATTGATTCAGATATGCTATCCTTATTCTATTTTTTAGTGCCAAACTTTTATTTATATCATAAAATTATATCGTCAAAAATGCTTTGTAGCAACGTATATGTAGTATAACAAAGAAATATCTTCCACCATCACCCCCTCCCCTTTATTAACACAACCGTAGAAATCTTTATTTGAAAAACTTGTTAAAATATCAATTAATATTAAATATTAATCTCAAATATTCTCAAAGTGTCCTGTCACTTCAATAAAGGTCAATCAACCAGTAAATGAATTTAAAACAAAATCTATGTTCCACATTCTACAAATTCTTGTCTTTAATTTACTTTTTGCCTACGTTTTTACCCCTATCAATATTTTCCATTTTGAATTCTGAGAGTTGCTCGCATGGCGAAGTTTTTAGAGCGTCTGCTCTAGAGTCGCGGAGTAAGAAGTTGATCCTTACATCACGGGTTCGAATCCCACTCACTGGCACTGTGGAACACGGAGACAGGTCCTTCGGATGAGACCGTATAAACTGAGCCAAGTGACGCAATAGAGGCTGACACGAAAGAGAGCCACGGCACAAAGGGCCTGAGTGCCGAGCACAGGTCTAAATTTGTAGACCTCAATTTGATCTTCGAAAATATCTTTTTCTCTCACAAAACCTTCAAGACTTTAAGTTCTCTTTTACTAAGGTCATAAACGATGTCATTTTTGTCTCTGTTTTCTGATTTCCTGAATATTTAAATAGTCCCAATTAACCTTCAGTAAAGCTTGATAAATGTATTAATTCTCTTAGTAAACTTATTTTGTAGGAATACAGCCCAAGGTAGTATGTTTGTTAAACGTTGTTTGAAAAACACAAGTATTTACCACAACCAATACGTATTCAAACCTGTCAGTTATGTATGATGATCCTCTCATTTTAATTAATACATTAAAAAAGCAACAACAAAAAAATACAAATTTCTTGAAAAAAAAAATCAAATAATTTTGTTTCTTTAATTTTATGCAAATATAGTACAGTGCTTTATATACCTATATAATAGTTAACCTATTTTCTTCATGATAACAATAATATATACGATGTATTCCGACCAATTTATTGAATCTGGCACTTCAAATTATTTATATTTTTTTTCATAATTATTTAAATTTTATAGCAATTTTAGTGGAAAATTTTACATAAGAAATATCTTTCAAAAAATGAAATCTACATATGTTACTTTAAATATAAAAATAAAATAAAAACATTTGGATTTGTTACGATATTTTTTGTTTGCATTTAATTATTTAAAAAGGGGGCATTGTACCCAAAGCAGCTCTTCTTCTGAAGGTTTTCAGAAACTGTAGTTTGTAGATCAACAATACTTTTCAGTCTTTCGAAAATGGATGTATAACTTTAGAGTAAACCTACCTGGGTTTATGATGTATCAAAATTTATTGTCACATAAGTTCAAAATTTCTAGCATCCAGTTAACGTTTTAAAAAAACAGATATAATCTTTTTTCGTTGTACAGTTGCACATTGTTTGTAAATTGTTGTATTCATAGTGTAAATGCACTCTTCACAGCTTTATATCAAGGAAGCACACAACTGCGTACTCATTAAGAGGATGTTTGGTAAATGAAATATTTAAGAGTGCGGAATATAAATACTTGTAGTTCAAAGACTGTGATTAGAAAACAGATACTGGAGATGTCCAATAGGAAAGCAAGGAAACTGAAACGTCACTGAAACAAAATGGCTCACTACATCTCATCCAATCATGTCATTGGAGTGATATGCATTTTTATAAATGGTATTTTCTTTTATTCGAAATAAAAATGTCTTGTACAATGAAAAATTATTGTCAGGAATTATGAAGTCAGGAAAAGAAATAATTATTAAATACTTCCATGGGATGATCAATTTATAATTTTGTATAACGGATTCAATCAGAATGTTACTTTAATCATTAACGTAGCAGATTTGCATTCGTTAACTTTTTCTGTTTTAAATGTATCCATGTTTTGGTGATATTATTAACATTTTCTATAAATGTTTTTCATTTTTATATAATTTACTTATTACATTTTTTAAATAATAATATTCCATGTGTTTTTTCTTTGAATGTTCTCTTTCTTATCTATAATTCAAAATTTTTCTTGACATTAATTTTTTTTTTTTTTTTTGTAAAAAGCCAAAGAGGCGGAGCCTCCAATGAAAAACCCATTATGTCAAAGAAATACCTCATCCCTTTCTTTTTTTAATGCTCTTTATTCAAGCGATTTTTGCCTTCATTATCTGTTGACAGCTGTTTCCTCCGCTATTTTTACACTTTATATCTTGGATTCTCAACCAGCGGACAGATGTCATAATTTGTTAAGGATTTTTTTCTAATTTTGTATTTTGTTCTTCCGTTTTAACATATCTTAAAAGTTTACATTTTCCTTCAACCCTTTTTTCTTTCCAATTTTATATCATTCGCTTTTTTTCTTAATCGGATGAATTTCAAAAATAAAATATATTGTCAAATTGTCAAACCTTTTCAATTTTGAACCCTTTTTTTACAATAAAAATTACTGTTTTGAAAATTATGCTTGTTTTTTTTTTGTTCCAATTTCAACTCAATTTCTATTTTTTTTTAGTATGATATATAGAATGACAAATGTGGAATGCATTTTAT